CTGCGTCCGTGTCCGTGTCCCGTTCCCGCGTCCCGGGTCCCGTGTCTCACCCCTATGCTCAGCCGGGGGACGTGGCTGTGCTCGTCTCTCCACTGTCAACCCATTTTTAGGGATCCCTTTGTCCTTCCTCCCGTTCCCGGGACGGCTCAGCCCCAGCCCTGCCGGCTCCCCCGGCTGGCACCGAGGTGCCGCCGTACCTTTCAGGAGAAGGTTTAAGCTGGCGAGCAGCCTCCAGAGGGTCTCCTAAAGGTGGTGGGTAAAGCAGTGAACCTGGTGGGCTTGGATTTACCTATAAAGGAATCTGCGCCTCGCTAGGAAACTTCCCACAGCGTCTTGAAACAATCAGAAAGCATTTTGATAAGGGAATTTTGCAGTTTCTCCCAGTCGCGGTTTCAAGCTCTGGTTGGAAGCGCGAGGCTTTGTACAGCAGGAAAATCAAGCGAGGGCTGGCATGAACTGACCTCTCAGGAACGAGGAAACTTGAGGGAGTTATTTCCTGCTCGGCAGGACTGTTGAGCCTGGGCTCTGTGGTTGCCTGTCCTTTGTGCCCTGGCCCCTGCATTGCTCTGTATTCCTCCTGACACCGTGAGCACAGGCAGAGAGTTACTTGCCCCGGGACTAGTTTGAGGTGGCAGGGCTGACTGGTCTGGCTCCTGCTGCCACGCTGTCATCGGCAGCAGTTCTATTTTTCTTCCTAAGTGAAGAAATCACCTTGTGTCTCCTCCCTATCTGAATTCATTCATGCTATGACACCTGTAGGAATTTGTTGCAGTCTTCAAAAATTTTCTGGGATGGATTTAAAAAAAATTTGGGGAGAATGAAGCTAACAGGCAGCATAGTTATAGGGCTTCCATGAGAAACTAGGGAAGATAAGTGCTGTGCTGAAATATGTGCAGTAAAATCATAGACTTTTAGGGGTTGGAATAGACCTTACAGATCATCTAGTCCCATCCCCCCCCTGCCATGGGCCTCCCACTAGGTCAGGTTGCTCAAGGCCTCATCCAGCCTGGCTTTGAACACTGCCAGGGCTGGGACATCCACTGCTTCCCTGCGCAACCTGTGCCACTGTCTCACCACCCTCACAGGAAAAAACTTTTTCCTAATATCTAGCCTAAATTTCCTCTCCTTCAATTCGTACCGATTATCCCTTGTCCTGTCACTGCAGCTCCTAACAAAGAGTCCCTCTCCAGCTCCCCTGTAGCCCCTTCAGATACTGAAAGGTGCTATGAGGTCTCCACACAACCTTCTCTTCTCCAGGCTGAACAGCCCTAACTTCTTCAGCCTGTCTGCACAGGGGAGGTGCTCCAGTCCTCTTATCAGCATTGTGGCCGTTCTCTTAGATGCACATATTTGAAACTTCACATTAACAAAAATTTTGAATCCCTCTCTGTACTACTGAAGAGAATATTATACACAGCTTTATAGGATTTGAGATTATATTAACTGTATTCAAATAAGGGAATTAAGAGTTGGATTATGTTGATTTTCTGCATAGAAAGTGTTTGCTATTCATCGGCTGAATTGTTTTTGTTGATTGTGACTTATTTTTATGAATACACTAGGTTGGTTATAAGAGAGTAACTTTATTTTATTTGGGATCTGTTATTGTAGATTTCTAATTTTGTTTATCTGCTTGATTTCTAGGTGCTAAAAGTAGATAACCATCCATACCATACCTGGAACTTGTGAAGTTATACTGTCCTAACCCTACATAATGTAATATTGTTATGTTAATGCTAATCAGCAAAGGAATTGGAATACAATTTACAAGATGCCAACTGTTGAAAATCTGAGTGGTGAACAAAACTTCGTTGCATGTTGGATGCCCGATAGTTCCCGTGCTGGAGTCTTACTGGATCCTAGTTTTACTGGTTTGAAAATCAATAAGGAAAATTTGTTATCTGGACCTGAAAACATCACAGCTTTCCCTGAGAAAGTGTTGCATCTTTCAGACAGCTGTTCTGTAAGCGATGACTCCCTGTGTGAAGAGTCTGGCAGCTCTCATACATTCCAGCAGTGCACCACTGGAACATCTTTTCCAGCAGCAGCATGTAGTGCAGAGAGCTCTAAACCAGACTTTGTCCGTGGTGAAGTGGATGGTCAGAAAAAATCCACTCAGAGCGATCCACTCTTACAAAAGCTCGAACAGGTAAGAGTCCTAGAATTCCTTGACATACATCCATTAAGATTTATTTTGTTCCTGCATATGGTTTGTCATACCTGGAAGTAAGCAAACTCCTTGCAACATACAGACCACAGCAAGTCCTAAGTTACAGTTACGTGTGTGTAAGAGTTGGTGTCCTCCCTTGTAATTGCTGCTGTTTAGAGTCTCACTGCTGTTGTTTCCAGGTTCCAGTCTAAAATGAAATTGTTCTCAAAATCAGTTTACCTGGAAAGGTGCACACAGGTTTACAGTGTTCCATTGTTCACTTGATGCCGTGGAAACGGGGTGCTGGTCATTGCAGTGGTGGTAATATTTCACCACAGATACTTACAACATGTATGTCCTTGTATCTATAGTAACATCTCTTGTTAGTCCTCAAAGTGGGTGTGAACATTCATATACCTGGTTCTGTTTAGATGAAGAGAGATGTTAGTGTTGAACATGATAAAATATCCAAGACATCAGGACAAAAAGGGCTGGAATTATATTGCTGTGATGTTACTGTTTTCTTTCCAATCCAGACATGTCAGTGGCTATGTCTTTGCTCACAGCTCTTCTCAATTGCTAGATACAAATTGTGTTAGCTGACAGTGTTCAGTAGCACTTTAATAGATATTGCTGTTAAGGATTAAGAACTCATCTCCTTGTCCACTCTGCTAGCAGCTACATCAGACAAATCCCTGTGTATGTTCACTCGAGTGGAGAGAGGGTGTGTGTCTCTAGAGGAGAATTCCACAACTTACCTGGTGCTATAAAAAGTTGTCTCATGTATTTTACATGATTGGAAAATATTTATTCACTTTTAAAGTATTGTCAGCAGTATCAGTCTGTGGCTAACTGGCTAGCTTGTTTATTGCTGTCTTAAGAGGAATTATTGTCTCCTGCCTTAGAAAGTTATTGACAATGTATAAAAAAAAATAAATCTGATGCTTGTCATGGCATGAATTTTTTTTCAGTTTCTTTTTCTAAAGATATTATTTTCAGAACAGGTTATGATTAATTTATTAAGTGAAGGGGTAGGAGATGAGACTCAGATGATCTTTGAATCTTGATCATTAGGTCACAACTTCCATAGTGCCTTCTGTTTTTACTGTGACTACAAGGAAAATTCAAAGGAATTTTTTCTTACCCACTGGATCGCAGGAGTGGTCTAATTGTTGATCTGTGGAAGGATTTCACCAGGCCTCCCTTTTTTCCTTTGGAGGAGCTGGAGCTAACACGTATGTGTGTTGGAGATACGAAGATGGATACGAGGCCTGCCACTCATTGCTGTGGTTTGGTAGGGTACAGAATGCTCTTTCTTCATATGATCCTCAAAGCTGGTCTTGAGGGCAGGGCCAGAGGCTCCTGCTACACAGGAAAATGGAGACTGGATTACTGAATTTAATCAGTATTTTTTTTTTCAGATAGCTTAATGAGTCTTAATGGTGTCCAGTGCTCTTTTTCCCCTCTCTTGGTCTTTTGCATCAGTACTGTATACTGTAACTGAGGTCTAGGAGGCAGAGGGAACAAAAAACCCACCCAAACTTTTCCTAAGCTTTAATTATTATGAAGTATATCACATTTTATTAAAAACACAGCATAGTAGAAGTTCACATTGAAAGAGCAGAATTGGAATGTTTTTCCCATGCAGTAGAAATGAGAGTTCTGATATTGTTTGCAGATTGGTCAATTAAAGTCTAGTGAAACTGTTAATTGAGTAAACTAGAAATAGCATGTGTATTCATAGACAGAAAAATTCTTGATTTACTTCATGTTACACTTGCCTAATGGAGCATCTTTAAAACAAGCAATATCTGTTGTCTTGATGCTGCTAATCCTGTGGTATGTTCTAAATAAACCCTGGCCTCTAATACATTTATCTTTTTGTTTTAAAAGCTGAAGGAATTGCAACAACAGAAACAGGAACAGCTAAAGAAACAACAGATGGAGCAACTTCAAAGGCTAATGGAAGAGCAGCAGAAGCTACTTAGCATGGTATCTAGCCAGAGAGCAGCTTTTGGTAAGTTGAGAAAGGAAGCACATGATGTACTTTGAATAAACTGAAAAATTTAACCTCATTTTCCATTAAAAATCTGAACGTGTATTCCATGTTCTTCATCTTAAGACTACTTGATTAGTCAAAGATAAATGCTGTATTCCTTCAGTGCCTGAAAGTTGAGTGCTGGTGTAAAAGGAATACTGTCCTGTTTTTATAAAATGCCAACTGTAATTGTAACTTGAAGCCCCAACCCTGGCAGTGTTCAAAGCCAGGTTGGATAAAGCCTTGAGCAATCTGGTCTGGTGGGGAGTGCCCATGGCAGGGGGGTTGGAACTAGATGGTCTGTAAGGTCTATTCCAACCCCTAAAACTCTGTGATTCTATGATATGCACTATGATGTGACACCTTGTTTTGAAGTACAAATATTAAATACAAAGTGTAAAACAAACACTTACTTTCCTTTCTGGTCAGCTGTTTCTCACAGTACTTTTGATTGCTTTAAGCTTTGAAGCCAAATGAAGTGGCCCCTCCTTGTTGTGCTCACACACATCACGTTCAGGAGATGAACTGAACTAGTCTAGAGAGCTGATCTGTATTTAAGAACAAACACTGGTAACTTGTATCAGTTTTCCAGTCTTGTTTGCTGTGTGCAAAGAGAGGGCACAGCTCTTGGCTGGAAAAAGCTTTCAGAGTTGAGCAGGAATATTTTCTTCTCTTGGTAGTGTCAGTGCAACCTGACTTAAATGATTGTCTTTCTTTCACTCTGCCTACCTGAGAAAATTAATTTAGGGCTTATCTTACAACAACAAAGTCAAGATTGCCTAATCACATATTCTTCATCAGTAACATAAGGATGGACACTGGATGATCAATCTTGTCCCTCAGTGGAACAGCAGTGTGTAATACAAATACAGTGAGACAGCCATTTTATTTTTCCTGTTCATTTCAAGGCTATACTCCAACGGCTGAAAGTCAAAAGCTAAGACCTGGGCACTCAGGCTTAGCAACTTTATACCAGCTGCCATCACCTGGATATCAGAGTATCTCTGAAGACAGAGCTCATGCTCTGATTGTTGCTTCATATACACAAGACAATGATTCTTTCCAAAAGCTGAACAACAAAGAATGCACATCGTCTTTGAAGAACAGTCTTTCACAAGTGTCTGCCTGTGAGAAACAAGGTCTGTGTGTGCCTCTGAGAAGGCCAAATTATTTGAACAACAGGGAAGACAGATACATTACTGGCTAGTCATTTCTAGAAAGATAGCTTGATGTGTGGTGGGTTTTTCTACTACTTATTTTGAAGATTTTCTGATTTTTGTTGGTTTACTTGATTTTTTTTTTGGTTAGTTTACTGACAGCTAACAGACCTCAGAGTGTTCCTGTTGATGTCCGTGTGAGTTTTATTAAAAGCAGCACTAGACAAAAGTCAAATTCTTAATTCATACACACACATGTGTGGGAAACAGAAGCTTGATAGGAGAGCTCTTCAGTACAGCAGACATCAAAATTTCAAGTTGTTTGTTTTAAACCATATGTTAACAATAGCAAAGAAGATGAACAATCAGAATGGATTAAGGTCTGTAGAAAATTTTTAATGCATAATTGGATGTTCCTTTAAAAAGAAAGCTGAAATTCAAATAAGAAAATCTTAGGACTATTTTTTGTAGGAATTCAGATCACATTGCCATGAAATTCCCTTCTGGTTTTAATCTTACCTGAATGATGCTTAAAAGTATGTGCTGAAAATGGATTTGTTGTTGGGGCAAAAGAATTGTATTACTTTCATAGGAAGAAACATGTGGTGTCCAGAAAAAAAGATGGAATCATTAATGGAGAGTGAAGACAATCATGTGGATCCTTTACATGTGGGAAGAGCAGATCTCTCTGGAAATTCCAGTGGAGGTGAACATTTGCAGACTAATACAGAGGAAAGGTAATTCAGACCATTGTGGAGTTTTTATCCAATAACATGAGCTTGGTTGAATTTTGAGTTCTGACTGAAACAATCTTATACTCACAATTTGTGTAGCTTCCTCAACCAAGGATTCAGTTTTCCTAGGTGTTGTGGAGACCTGTAGTTAGAGAGGCTCTTGCTTGAAAGTACTTGGGCTGTAAAAGATGTGATGTTGTGTATTGGATGAAGATGTGTGTGTGTGCAACATGTGGTAATGACAGCTTAGAAGCACCTCAGTATATAACCAGTTATAATTACTGTTCCCAGTTTGATATATTACAGCCTCCTGGGCAACTTGCTCTAGTGGAAGGTGTCCCAGCCCATGATGATCTTTATGGTTAAGGTTAGGATGATCTTTAAGGTCCCTTCCAACCCAAACCATTCTGTGATTCTATGACATGTCTGCATATGGCTAGGAGCTAGCAATAGTGCTTGTGGCAGAAGTGCTGGTATGGTATGAGCTTTGTATATGGGGCTGATAGAATAACAGTGGTGGTTGGCATCGTGTTAAAGCTCTGCCTTGTCTGCTGGGTCATCACAGAAACAAGAAGTACTTGTTGCAGGCTGTGGTGGGTTGAGCCCAGCCAGCAACTAAGCTCCCACCCAGGTGCTTGCTCACTGTTCCCCAGAGCAGAATGGGAGAGGGTACCAGAGGAGAAAACTTGTGGGTTGAGATAAAAACAGTTTCATAAGTAAAAGGAAGAGGGGAAGAAACCCTAGGTGATGCATAGGCAGTCACTGTCCACATCCCACAAGCAGACCAGTGCCCACTTCGTCTCTGAGCAACAGTTGCTTTTGGAAGACAAAGCCCCCAGTTTTTACTGCTGAATGTATTGTATGGTATGGAATAGCCTTTTGGTCAGCTTGACTCAGCTGCTCTGGCTGTGTTCCCCCCATGTTAGGTCTTGCCCACTCCCAGCCTTCCTTCTGGGGCAGGGAGCAGTGTGAAAAAGCAAAGAAAGCTTTGATGCTGTGTGAGCAGTGTTGAGTAATAGCTAAAATGTTAGTATGTTATCAACACTGTTGTTGTCACAAACCCAAACCACAGCACTATATGGGCCACTGTGCAAAAAGCTCACTCCATCCCAGCCAGACCCAGTGCTCCTGTGGAAGAGGAGGAGTATCGAAGGGAGAGATAAGGAACATGATCTCAGTAGCATTCCTGAGTGGGAAGGGGATACTGTAGACATTGGCAGTATGACTAAATTACAAGGGAAAGTTTGGTGATTTAGGCAAAAGAAAGGGTCATTAAGAAAAGCAGTGAAGAAAAAACAGCAAAACCTGCCTACAGTATCTTTTAGGTAGGTATATTAACTGTTGCAGGGATTTGCTAAACTGTTTCTCAGAAGATAGGGGTAGTGTTATAATGCATTTCTCAGATTAACTTCGACAATGATCAAAGTACCTCATAATTGATCATCTTTTATCCAAATAACCTTAGGTCTTTTAACAGCAGTGATGTTAAAACATAGTTATTTTATATAGAATTATAAGACTTATTATAGGCTTATTTTATATGGATTTTTTAAAAATTGCACTAGGCCTATTAAAGCTGCAATTCAAGAGAAGAAACAGACATTTGAAGAATTCTTGGAAGAACAGATACAACTAGAGAAGCAGCGTCTGGAGCAAACCCAGAAGTTACAGGTTATTTATTATTATTTTTAAAAATTTTATTCCTTATACATTGTTCCAGATGAGATAACTGCTTTGAAAATGTACAAGGAAGATGCTATCATCAAAAGCAAACACTGAATGCAATATTTGCATTCTTGAAAGTGTAACAATAAGCCCCAAAAGTTCCACTTGTATAAGTCTTTAGAAAGTCAGCAGAAATGCACCATCTGAATTCCTAGTCATATGTGGGGTGTATTTGAGGAAAACTCCAAACTCTGTAAGGGGTTTTTGTAACGTTTTGTGGTTTACTTTTCTTCACCCCTTTTCAGGAGACAAATGGATCAGCTGTTCAAAAACCAGTGATCAAACGACCGTTCCTGAAAAGAGGAGAAGGCTTAACAAGATTCACTAATGCCAAATCTAAAATTACAAAACACAGAGAAAGCACCCCAAAACTTCAACAAAGGGCTTCAGATGAGAAGAATGTTATTAGAGTGGACAGATCACAAATACAGAAGAAAACTACACCTCCTGGCAAAGAACTGGTTTCTGAAAATCCTTTTGCACCATGTCAAAAATATAACCACTCCAGTAAAGCAAAACGTCCTGTTCAGAAGACAGTGGTACTTGGGAATCACAATAGAGAAAATATCTTGCCATTAGAAACAAGAATGCAATCAGGAAAAAGTCACTATGGACAGATGAGAGATTCTCACCCATCAGAAATTAACAACAAACCAGAAAATAAAGAGAACAGTACAGAATTTGCTAAGTCTAACACTGGCAAAATCAGAAGCAAATTACCTGGCACAGAGAAGTCTCAGTTGTCTCGAGAGCTGGCCAGTGCCTTTTCTAATTCTGAGTGTTCTGTAGGTCACCCTGTAAAAAATTCAGAACTGTCTTTTGAAATTTCGTTTCAGAATAAGATGGAGAACTGGGAAAAAGAAAGAGAAAAAGAGAATCTAGAATTAGATGAATTTTTGTTTCTAGAACAAGCTGCAGATGAAATATCTTTCTCAAGTAATTCCTCGTTTGTGCAAAGGATCTTGGATCGAGATCAGCAAGCTTTAAAAGGCCGTAGAATGTCTTCTACCCCCATCAAGGCAAAACAGCAGCAAGCAAAGGCACTGGCTGCTGAACATACAAATGAGAAAAATAAAAGGACAGGCTGCATGGCAGGGGAAAATATCAGTGATAGTCTAGCTATGCATGCAGTCTCAAATCCAGGAACAGCTTTTAGAATGAAGGATCCATTGAGTAAAACAGACAGTGTAGTATGTTCAGCTGCTTCCGTGAAAGCAGCTCCTGCTTTAAAAAGTAATCCTTGGATTGTAGGTGAAGGTAAGGGTGAGAGCAATGGTCATACTACTACAGATTCTGAGAGTGAATTTGGGACCACATTGAAGCATGACAACAAAGATGCTAAGACATCCTTTGTGAGCCATAGAGAAAGTGATTCAGAATTTTTTGATGATGGAAGTTCTGTTACAGACATCAGCAAAGAAAGCAAAAATGGAGACGCTGATCTTGGCTTGTCAGACCAAGATTGCAGTGCACTGTCAAAGCAAAAGATTAGAAAAGCCACAGATGATCACAGAAACATGTGTAAAAGTAGGAGTCAGTTTGAGTTTGATGATGACAGAACATGGAGTGATCTTGATGAAAATTATGTTAGCAGTGATTTACCTGAAATATATCCTAAAATACCTTTACAGATGGACTTTTCTGGTAAGAATGATACAACTGTCCCAGATAAAGCAATAAAGAGAAAAGTTGCCTCAAAGAAAGCAGATGAAATGTCCAAAGAGTCTGCAGTGGACAGCAATTCAAATGCACCTCCTGTATCAAACCTGATGATGAAACTGTTTCCTTCGCTGAAACCGAAGCAGAAGGCAGGCTGTCCTTCAGAGTGTGAAACCAAATCGAACGTGGAGCAGGAGCCAGGAGGTGAGAGAACAGCAGCTGGTAGGAAATGTTGAAGAAGTCATATAGTGCAAGTCTTTCCTTCTAACTTGACATTACACCAAAGGGTGTAAATACAGACTTCTGCTGCAGGGCATGGCCCTATTCTCCCCTTAAATCTCCTCTGGTTGCATGTCTGGTGTCAGATCTAACAATTATGCAGCTTGCAGAATGACTGTGATTGGTGAAAACTTCTGTGGTTGGTGAAAACTTTTTTTTTTTTAATATTTTATTTTATTGTTTGCTTGTTGGGGTTTTTTCCTCTGGAGGTTAGTTCCTTGTGGTCCCTTCCAACTTGGGTTTGATGTGAAGCCCTTGACATTCCAGTTCCCAGTATGTGTTTAGTTCTACAAAGATCACAGATGTACTCAGTATTTGAGGTACTTGAGTAAGTAGTGCAGTGTGCTTTAAAATATATCTCCTGTGTTATTTGAATAGTACTTTTTTTGCCATACTACTTCTACCTTTAAAATAGTATAACTTGGGGGGGTTTTATGATTTTTTTAAGCTGGTCTATGATAATAGTTTCCTTCAGTCTTGTGGATGTGACTTCGATAACTTGCATCCGGCTGTGCTTTGACAGGAAACACTGTTCCATCCCAGCTACTGAGAGAGAAACTCACTGAATTGGAATCTGAAATAGAGAGATTCCGAGCTGAAAACACGAGTCTGAGGAAACTCCGTGAGGAAAGAGAGCATGCCTTGGCAAATATCAGGTGATTTTTAATTGAAACATTTTGTGCATCCACTTACATGGTCTGTTCTGGACTGCCCATGATGTCTAGTTACCAACAGCACAGGTAAACAATTCATGTGTTTCAGTTACAGTGAAGATAGGCCAAGTAACTAGTTGCTGCTCTATGTATATGTTAAACTGAAATGACTATACTCAAATTCTAATACTAAGAACCGCTGCTAGGTTAAGATGATACCCTTAAAAGCTATACTTAGAGAATTTATATACTTTTGTTCTGAGGGGTAACACAGTCCTAAACTGGTCTTGCAGAACTGATCTTCACACTAACATGATTGACGCTTTTGCTTTGGGTTTGTCCCAACTGAGAATATTTTAATTTGAACTGGGGCATTGACAAGTGGCATAGAGAGCAGAATAATTACCTCGAGTGACTTAAATGTGGCAGACCTGTTCCTGCCACAGCCACTTTTGTTCTGATCAGAAACAGCATTGTGTTGTTGGTTGATTCTTAATTTGTGACCTCCTGGTGTTAGCAGATTGTTTTCCCTTTTGGGGAATGGTGTTCTAATGTTTTGAAGAATGTTGGAAGTTTGTAGTCAAAGCTTTTCTAAATTCAGAACAACTTTTGTGATGAGAAATTATAAAATTATACATCGTTGGACTTTAAACACTAACTGTGTAATAATTCTTACTCCTGAAAAAAGTAATACGATTTATAGGTAAGTCTTCTTGGGGGTAATAGATGCTGGATTGGAATCAGTGACCACAAAATTCTGAGTCTACGTTTTCTTTCTTAAAATCTAGATTTGAAGTAGATTTGGGCTAAAACAACAACTTTGTTTCATAATTATAGGAAAGAAATTGCAGACTTTGAACAGCAGAAAGCCCAAGAACTGGCTGAAATAGAAGAATACAAAAAAAAGGAAATGAAAAAACTGCAAAAGGAGCGTAAAGTTTTTGAAAAATATACCGCAGAAGCTAGAGCAATTCCAGATAAAAAAGAACGTGATGAAATTCAGGTATAAAAATATATTATTCTAGTCCACACAGGAAAATGGAAATTAACTTAAAGGCAGTTGAGAATGAAATTGTAATTTAGTTGAAAGTTTGCAAGTGATTTCAAGATGGAACTGTCAGCAGATGTGGTTTAGTGGTAGACTTGGCAGTGCTGGGTTACTGGTTGGACTTGATCTTAAAGGTTTTTTCCAATGTAAATGATTGTAATTGAGGAAGGGAACTACAGTCTTCACGATGTTGTTTGATGGTTGAGCCAATCTTTTTCTCATGTTTCCATACTAGCAACTGCTTGTGACTATGACAGAATGATCTTCAACTTTGATACAAAGTTACTGTAGTTAATATTAAGTTCTAAGTTTTTATTCATGGTAGTGGATCAAAATGCAAACTAGAACTGCACTGGAGTTGTATTCTTTCTATAACTGTTGTACAGTAAATGTAGTAATATACAATTTTCAAAGCTATATTTTATTACCACTTGTAGGTCTTTAAGTACCAGAGATATAGGGAACAAGATCTGTTTGTTCCTTCATTGTCAGGATGTATGAGATATGAGATACATAGACAAGTCATATCAAACACCATGCATTGATTTCCCTCCTGCTTCCCTACAAATTTGCCTTGCTTCAACAGACTGAAGTAACATTTGCTGAACTGGCTGGGCAGATTTACATGTGTTTCCTGTGATTGTGTCCTCGTTTTCCTGTGCGAAGATTTTTGAAGGGCCCTCTCAAGGGTAGCCGTAAAGAATCCATGTTTTTGTCTCACATGTATTTGTACTGGCCAAGCTATGAAGTGTAAAGGAGGCCAAGAGGGCAGTAGAAAAAATTCCTGTGATTGAAGCTGAGCTTATAAAGTTGCTAGTGTAAAGTAAATAATCTGTCTTTTAGGAGAGAAAAATTCTCCTGCCTTTCACCTTCTACACTATTAAGCTGTTCTTAATTTTTTGCTACTCTTGTGTCTTTTTTGCATGTTTGTATTTCTACTAGAAACTCAAAATATTTTAATATATGAAAAAAATGAAAGCTTTTAAATTTATAAACATGCATTTTTCTAAGGCTTTAAAACAGCAGATTGCAGAGTTACAGGAAGATTTAAAACGAAAAGAAGCAAAATGGTCAACCACCCATCGACGCCTGAAAGATCAAATAGAAGCTTTAGTAAATGAGAATCTGGAGCTAAAAGAAGAAGTTAAAATTATGGAGAAGTTTCGTGTAGAAGCCTGGAAGAAAATAGCAGCTGCTGGAAGCAAGAGGAAAACAGAAAATTCTGGGGTGAGTCTAAAAAGAGCAGAATCTGTAAGTTATTTCATTTGGTGTTTTAAATACATCTGTGTGAATGCTTGAGTTGTGTGACATGAACTTGGACTCCAACAGCTACAGCTTTTAATTTACCTGTGTGGGGACTCCGCTGGTGGTGACAGACACAGGCTTTTGTTAATGTCACATTCTCTCCAAATGTGAATGCTCATAATGTGCAGCATCCTTTTTGTGGAGGAACTTGGATATTCAAAATGATGCAATTGTAAGAGAAAAATCATAGGTGGGGTCTAACCTCTGAACCTCTGCCCCTTAAGGATCAACCAGGCAAACCAGGCAGTTCATGACTGTCTAAAGCCATTATATTAAGTTTTGAAGATGTGTTATTCCGGATTGCTTGCACCAAATGAACACTCTGCAGTTGTTGGTAGTGAGGGAGCAGATGGAGGAAGAGCTTCAAAGTGCAGCTTGGGCTGTATCACACAAGCCCTTCTGCTGATCAAGTCACAAATATGTAGAGGTTGTGAAGAAAGCTTCCAGTAAATTTCATGTCACATGGTCCATAAATGTTGTTTCTGCTGTATAAAGAGTTATGATTACATGCCACATAAACCACAAACACTTCCTTTCTTTTAGTGTCTACCAAAGAGAGGCCTAAAAAGTCAATCTGCATCTCCTCTTCCTCCAGTACAGAAGTGCAGCAGGATAAATAGCAAAAGTTATTCACAGGCAAAAGGTAAAAATGTTTGTCTGACTGGAGAATTCTGTTAACTCTTTTTAAAATTAATGAGAATTTTTGCTTTGTGGAGTGCATCACCGCTCCAAAAGTAGTTAGAATGAATTGTAATGGGCTTGAGCACATGGATAAATACCTTGTAGGGTAGAATTCTGGAGAAAGTTGTGATGAGACCAGTCTCAGAGTAAAAATGCTTCTGGTCATATTTGGTGTTTTGGAGCACAGCAGAAGTTGCTCTCTGTAACCCAAAATGGTATTAATCACTGGTGTTCTCCAGGCTGGAGATGCTGATTAGATCACTGAAACTAGATGATCTTTAAGATCCCTTCCAACCCAAACCATCCTATTATTCTATCTCCCTGCCATGGGCCTGGACACCTTTCACTAGACCAGGTTGCCTCAAGCTCTATCCAGCCTGGCCTTGAACACTGCCAGGGAAGGAGCATCCACAACTTCTCTGGGCAACCTGTGCCAGTGTCTCACCATCCTGACAGTGAAGAATTTCATCCTGATGTCTAGGTGGCTGTGATAGCATTGGAACTGCTGTGTCTCTTCTGAACCTTCTGTTATCAGGATCTGTAATCATATGGGCAATGCTGTAGCAGGTATTCCTTGTTCAGTTAGGAGCAAATCCTGCTTGCCTTCCTAATGAATAATCACATGAAAGTAACTGCAGGGTACTTTTTTTGACACTTCTGACAGCTCAAGCAACCTATCTGTTAGGGGAGTATGTTTCAGAATTGAAAGTGGTTTTAATTTGGTAATCTTTGTGATGAGACATGGGAAAAGTGTGGCAATTGGTTCCTGGTAAAAGGTTACATCAATCTTCCTTTATTTGTTGTAAGGCATAACTAATAATGTTGTCTAGATCTCTAGAGGGGGAGGAAATCCTTTGTGAATCTACAGTGACAAAATAGGAGAGAAATTATTAAAATATTATGCTTGTTGCAATGACTGCAGTTGTAGCTTCTTGCTGACACACAAAGCAATGGCAATGATTGATCCTTTTATTGGCTTACCCTGAGTCTTTTAATAAATAAGCTACTTCCACATTGTACTGCACTCAAGAAATGTAGCTGTCCTGTACAGCTCATATAGAATTGTAACACGTTAATTTCAGTGTCCAATTTAACTATTACATGTGTCTGAGTAGGAAAGACTTCTGCAACACCTGCACCAGGACCTGCTAATGACAAAAGCAACACTGAGACAATGACAGCACTAGAAGATTCTTCTAAGATGTTTATGGTAGTAAGTCCTGAATCTTGATTTGATTTTTTAATGGGGAGGAAAAAGCATAAAATAAAATGTTATTTGTACTTAAATGGGTATGTGGAGGGTGACTAGTGAGGCTGTTGACTCACCTTCTTATGTTCAACTTTTATTGCCATACCAGAAAATAGCTATGTATTAGTCAGTGAATAGTGTTTTACCTGTGTCTGGTAGTTGCAATATTCTTTACCTCAGGAAAGAAAATAAAGCAATCATCTCCTGCTCTTTTGCATTTTGCAAAATGTTTTACCTTTGGAGAGAGTTAAAAAAGATGGATGTTCATATGCTTCATGTAGGGCAATTGTGCAATGTTTAAATGTAAATAATTCTTACATTAATTGTTGTAGTAGCATTCAGGCTTTATGAAACTTGATCATGTCATACCTTGATGTGGATATCTCAAGGAAGTTGAGCACTGTGCTACAACACACCACCAAATTCCACTTTAGTCCAGACTACAGCTGACCACAGACAGCGAATTATTGCTGAGTCTCAGTCCGTTTTACCACTTGAATTATACTAGGAGGTGCTCAACCCCTGGATTGTGTTTATTATACCTTCTTATACCTGTTTTCCTTCTGGGATGCTCCATGTTTCCTAAAGTACCTGTCAGCCTAGGAAAAAAACCATGTATAAAGACAAAGCTTGATTTGAGCTTATTCTTGTCATTTCAGGACACCTCTCCTAATGAAGCTCATGTGTCACTACCATCTGGCACTGCATATGCAGGCAGTGAAGATATACAGAGAGAAACTGCTTATCCTGATGGAAAGGTAAAACAAGAGCTGGGCACACTGAAATTCTGGAAGACAGCTGCTGTGAAAGATGAATGAGGGTGTGAGTGTGACAGCTCCATACCGACCTCTCTGTAATGCTTTCATTAGGTTGAGAAGGTTCTGAAAAATGGCTGTCAACTCATATTTTTCCCAAATGGGACATGGAAAAAAGTGGGCTCTGATGGGAAGACCGTAACTATCACCTTCTTCAATGGGGACGTGAAGCAGGTTATGCCTGATCAAACAGTGGTATGTATCCTTCATCTTCTCCATTTTTCAGTAAGTACTTATTTATGTGCACGTGTAGGCACACATGTAACATTTCTCACTAGTTATGTTAAATCTGAACTGTTTCCTGCAGATTTACTATTATGCTGAAGCTAAGACCACACATACCACATACTCTGATGGCTTAGAGGTCTTGCAGTTTTCAAATGGACAAATAGGTAAAGAAATCATCTCACCCAACCGACCGCGAGAATTGCTGCCCACGAATATATGTGTGCTTATGTAATAAGAATATTGTCTCAAAATGCATTTCAGAGAAGCATTATCCTGATGGCAAGAAAGAAATTACCTTCCCTGATCAAACTATTAAAAATTTATTTATGGATGGACAAGAAGAAAGTATCTTCCCAGATGGCACTATTGTTCGTGTCCAGCGGTAAGCTTTGCCTTCCCACGTCCCCTGGCCTGGGACAGGAGTACTAACAGAAGCATGACATGGTGACAGATCCATTTCTACAAGTTAGCATTTGAATAGAGTGTGAACATGTACTTACTGCTTGAGTTTTGGCTTGGGTGGTTCTTTTTGGTAGCTTGGAGGAGACCTAATGCCTGTGTGTATTGTTTTGCACCCTAACCTGAGAGATTTTCCTGATTTGTATGTAATTCTAGAAAACAAGAACCTGGCTGGGGTGGCAGGTGGGTCTGACTGACAGCTGAGAACTCATAGCACTCAAAATATTACATTTTCAACTTTTCTTGGACTGTTGCAGCAATGGATTTAGTACAGAGGAAATGCAGTAGAGTACAAAGAAGTCATGTCAGTTTTGCAGAAACAGGTTGTTGAGTATGGACCAGCTAGGATGATGTTTAACGTAACAGACTTTTCCACAAGTACTGTATTTTAGATTTTTCCATCATTTAGGCTTGCATATTTGATGTTTGCTGAGATTAAGCTTAAGCTTGTGTACAATCCTTACAATGTGTTTGTTTGGGTGTTTTTTCCCCTTTAATGCAGAGATGGAAGCAAAACTATAGAGTTCAATAATGGCCAGAGAGAACTACACACATCCCAGTTCAAGAGACGGGAGTATCCAGATGGTACTGTCAAGACTGTGTACATGAATGGACAGCAGGAAACCAAGTATGTCTCTGGGAGAGTCCGAGTAAAGGACAAGGATGGTAATATTATCATGGACACTAAGTTGTAGGCACTGGCAAAAGTGTTTGTCAGCACATCAATAAAAGTAATGTAGATTTCTGTAAAATACAAGTAAAAACCCTTTAAGCTTTCTGTGTATATATTGTTCATAGTTTTATTGAAATAAATTTATTTTTCAGTGGGTGTTACTACATCAGAGCTTTTGTTATTTTTTTCCCCCATTTCTACTTTTAAGAAGTTTATTGACTCAGTATTCTGTCATGCGTGGTTTAAAGGGTGTTTTTTAAATCAGCTGTCAGTGAAAACTCAAACAGCTGTAGATTAGCTTATTTTAGACACCTAGGAGAGAAGATTCCTCAATAAGTTGTGCTGTTGGAACCCCTGCTGTGGTAAAATACAGCAGGGGGCCCGATTTGAGTCTGCCTATCAGTTTATCTACTACTTGACTACTTAAAGGGGTAAGTGACCAGCAGCACTCCTTTTCAGTCAGCCTTAGGCTCTTTTTTCCTTCACAATTTTATTTTTTCTTCATCTCACAGTTACGAGGCAACAGCATTAGCAGACCCTTAAAGTCTGTTCAATAAACTGTTCTTCTCTATTCATAAGGAAAGGACAGGTGAGACTGTGGGACAGGCTAACTCTCCAAGCTGCTCAGAAACACCAGAAAATTAACAAAGTTCATCTCATCTAGTTCTTCCACTTAACAGGTGTTTCTAAGCTGACTTGGCTTTTAAAATTCTGCAGTTCCATTCTCTCACATATAGAAGATAGTCACTTTCTTCTCCTTGTCCCCTCTGCTCTTCTCCCCCTTCTCCTCAGTGAAAGCAAGCTCTGTCATTTCTGTGCCTGTGCCCCTTTTTACTCACAGGGTAGTAGTTGAGAACTCTGTTCACTCACAACCAGAACTTGCTTGGTTGGGTGGATAGACAGGTTCTGGCCTTTCTGGCAGCCTCAAACAGCAGCTCCTACTCAAGTCAGGGCCAATTCCCTTTCAGGCTGGTTAAGAACAACTTTTTTTTTTTTTTTTTTTTTTTTTTTTTAAAATGAAGGTAAGGAATTTGAAAATGAGCAGATGACAGCCTGATAAGAGTTATTTGCAACAGCATCCAGCACACATCTGATTAGTACTGAAACTGTAAAGGATCCTTCCACTGCTTGTACTGACTGGCAAGCTCCCTCCCAGCATGTCTAGGCAACACTACTAAGGGCAGTTTTGTACCCTTGAGGAATACGACCTGTGCAAGGGTACGTGTGTATGTGCACAAACCATGAGCACAGCAAGAGGCCTTTTCACTGTGAGGGTGGCTAAGTGCTGGAAGTGGCCGCCTGGAGAGGTGGTGGAGTCTGCATTGTGCATGTTTTCCTTGACAATCTAGACAAAACTCTCCACGGAGCGACTGGGAGGGGCTGAGCTTTATATGTAAGGGATTTAGTACACTAGAGATATCCAAAGAAACCTTACACAGCACAGCAGTAAAGAAAACAAGCTATCAGATGCACGCTGAACAAACTGTTTATTCCCAAAACTCTGAACTGAACAGGAAAGAGGTGTAACAACACCTAAAACTGAAACCAAGAAACTGCAACACTGCAACCATGTTTGAGAACAAACCAAAGTAATACTTTCCCAACCCCTAACTTTGCTCCCTCTCCTAGACTGGTGCTGGAGATGCCACCAAATATACCTGAAACATAAACAAGAGTTATGTCACAGTAATAAAACTATCATCTGCCCTTCAAGTCTTCTGCCAAGATACAAGAACAAATACGCCCAGCATCAGTTTTTTAGCTATTTCTTTACCACTATATGTTAGTTCCTTCTACTCCTAGTATGAAAGGATATCACAGAACAATCCTTAAGGCTCCAAGGTCAAAAGAAATTGAGATGTGAATATACAGTTTAGCTGTTTCAAGATTAAAATGTTTTAGGAACATGATCTGTAGACCTTTATGACAAGAATTCTCATTAAATGGCAGGGAAAAATACTATGTAACATCTGAAAATCCAAATCTCTAGTATTCACCATGGATAGCACACAGTGTAAAGCTTTTCATTAAAAATATTCCATGTTTGACTGGGTGCATGGACATCAGTATGTTACCATGTCTGTTTGCCTGAGAAATCACAGAACCACTAGCACCTGACACTGGGATCACAGGCAGAAAACAAAGAAAATGACTTCTGGTTTTCTAGGCTGAGTGTGCTGTCACACATCTGCAGGTTCCCTCTTTGTTTTCTTTTATTACTTTTTTACAAGAGTGGAAGTGTGGATAGAAGGGCTTTTTTAAAAACCAACTCTAGCTGTCAACATTACTGGCAGTTTATACACTGCTTAAAACTTCTGAAATCCTACCTCCATGACACATGAATTTGTAGTTCATAGTCACTGTACTTACACATCACTCATCCAACTCTGCAAATCCCAGTTCTACTAGCTTCAGGTGAACCAGATTTTCATCATCTCCATACAAAGAAATGGTGATGTCCGGTGAAAGAGTCTGAAAGTCGACAGTTTTGACAGTTACTGACTTATATCTCAAGCTAACCAACACAATGTTATTTTACTGGCTGTACTCACTGCCTAAATGGAACTGTGAATATGCAAATAATTGTTTTTAAGCAGAGAAAACTGGTTTTGAAATAACAGGAATGCTCAGAAACTTCTAGATAGCAGGATTAAGAGCACCATATCATCTTCTGTCTTCATAAGCATTTGTTCATTGTAAATCGTTCTCAATTCTAAATGATGAGGGCTCACAATAAAACAGAGTGCTATTAAGAGTTTTAGGCTGAGCAAGAACTAGGAAGAAAAGCAAAAAAAGCATTTCTCACAAGTATGGTAGCAGAGAGACGTTTTCCTTCAACGCAGTCCACCATAGCCCACAGTGCTTTCATGCTCCATTCCTGGGCATAAGGAATTCTTTTCATGTTTTTGTCATCGGAGGCAGGTTTAAATCCAGTCAATAGCACTTGTACTGCCTTAACAGGATACTTCAGCAGACAAGAAGGTATGCGACGCAATCTACAACAAAAAAGAGAAGTGTTTGCCTGCAGCAATCCACCTGTCAAGCTAAACTGTCAGCAAGGACATGATGACAGCTGAATGGTTGATGCCGTAGATTTATGGTGTAGAAACTGGGCTCAGAGTCCCAGCTCTCCAGGAACATGCCAGCATCAGACTGAACACTGCACCAGGCAAGGCTAAGTCCTCTGAAGGACTCAGCATATGAACTGTCAAAAAACAGGCCAGCATCCTGCAGAGCCCTCAGCCCCCAAGCACACTGGCTCCTCCCCACCACAGTGCTTGGGGAGGTGTCTTGAGTTCCTAACACAGATTGGAGCACGGGAATCCAAGTGCAAAACACCACAATGCAGGCTCCACAAGCCCTTGTGGTCCAAAGTGCTTCATACCCGAATATGCTCCAGACACACTACTGGAAATAGGTACCTTGGTTTTATATTCTTACCTCCCCATTCTTCTATCTTTCTATCCCAGAAGCAGAGCAGGAAATAAAACACACTCCCTCCCATGACCTAATACTCTGTGAAGCACAAAATTTGTTCAAATCCCAGTCTGGCCTCACATTCAGCAAGGATGTGTAGATTCCCCAAATGAGTTTGAGAGCAAGTCAATGGATTTAGCAGTACATATATCAATGTTCTGGGCCCCTCAGTTCAGGAAG